ATAAAGATGTAATTAAGCACCATGGTCATTTCCAAGTTTCCTGTTATTGTTTCTCCATTTTCACTGAGCAATGGGCCTACCCTCTTCTTGGTCTTCCTCTTGCTTCTAATATATTTATAGAATGTTTTCTTGTTTCCCTTTATGCCTCTAGCTAGTTTGAGCTTGTTTTGTGCCTTTGCTTTTCTAATCTTGCCCCTGCATACCTGATAGATCATCTTGCCCCTGCATACCCCTGCATCTAATCTTGCCCCTGCATACCTGATAGATCATCTGATGCTCCCCTTGAACTCATTCTCAGACATGGAAAAAGCAGTGGCTTTGCAGTTAGGTGCAACAGGCCTGCTTCTTTAATTCAAGGCTGTAGAATTGCTTCACAAAGCCTTAGATTGCAAAAAGAGTTTTTGCTTTGATTTGCTTGCAACAACTTCAAATTCTATTGTGAAACCACGTACTCACTGAAAATCCTAAACCCATTTTTTAATAAACATGTGTTACTTTTACTCTAAATCCAACTCTGGGCTGTATCAGCATAAAATAGATGATGCCTGTTCTTGATACACTGCACATTTCTTCTCTTGAGAGAAGTAAACATACGATGTTGATCCTGAGTGATCCAGCAGAGGGCACACGGTTTCAGGGCGGGAGCGGGGAGGTCAGGACTGGGGATGGATCTGGGCTCACTCCTGCAGGAGATAACGGGTGACACAAACCGGGGCGGGGAGGCTGGTGTGTTGTAGGCAGGCTGCTGGGATTGAGGTGATGAATCAGAGCATGACAGTGCATAGATACTCAGGATGCTCTAAGCTGGTCTGCTGCTTTTTGGTGTCCAGCCTTCATCAACATCTGTAGACCATTCAAGGCACCAGTGTTACAGGGCAGGGAGTGACACATGCCCTTTCTGGTCTGGGTTGCACCAAGCATGGAACATATGGGCATGCCTGGGCATGGCCCCTGTACTCCTTGGTTTGACTCCCTGCTTGGATTGAGCCCAGGGAGATATTTATAAGCAGATCTCCCGCCTCATGCACTAAGCACTAAGTACTTGGGAGGCCATCTTGCGTTGAGCTTCTTGTAAGAAAGGGCTGGCAAAGCTTGGGCATCTATCCCCAGGAGAAGGTGCTAACTTGAGAATTCCTGCAGGGTCTCAGTCAGGCTTCTATGGCACAGATGGGGCTTAATCACCGATGTCTCTTTGTGAACCTAGGCCCTGAGTCCTGCCAGAATCCACCGCATTTCACCCCTGGCTAGCCCAGGCAGTTCCACACTTTGCAAAAGCAACTGCTTTTGCGCAAAATCTTGCCAGTCTAGATGCACCCACTGTGATTATTTTCTCTTATTCTGGCTATAAAACTAATCTGGAGAGCGACTTTACCTACGGAATGTGCTTTGCTTCCAATACACCAAGTTACAGTTTCAATTAATCCTTTTAGTGTCCAGCTGGGATGAGGGACCCATTGTGTTAGATGCTCAAAAACAGATAGGTCTGGTCTACACTAACAGGAAAAATCAACTTATATGCACAACTCCCTCTTACGTTAATAGGGCAGTTGGAATCTAAGTCTCTTAAATCATGTTTTGGTTCCATCTACACAGTGGGAGTTCAATAGGAGCACACGCTCTCATCAATTTCCCTTACTCCTACTCGGGGTAGGAGTACCAATATCAACAGGGGAGCCCTCTCAGTTCACATTACCAGGTCTACGCTAAATCGATTCCTGGAAGATCACGGCAGCATCGATCTTCTGCATAGTGTAGATGTGGCCATAGTGAGAGACAATTTAGGCCTTCAAAGGCATTGCCATCTAAGGCTCTGATAATCAAAGGAGATTAAAATTGTTCATGGGTGTTGAATGTCCAACTCCCCTAGGTTCCATTAAAAAACCAGACTAAATAAACAAGAGAGTCATTCACTGCTGTGCACAGGACCAGCATGATACCTTTGCAACTCTTCAATCTCCCTTAAATTCTCAAACTAGAGATTGGGTGGGACTCAAGTGATTTTCAGTTAATTTCACACTCAGGCTGCAACGTCCAAAGATGCTAAGGGGATTTAGCCATTAAATTCCATTAGGCACCTTTAGCTTTCTCTTCCATACTCTCCAGTCCTTGACTATTACCTGGGACATATGTAATGCACATGAGATGGCCACCATCTTAGCCAACCCACTGGGGTTTGGAACTGGGACACACAGAGCTCAAAGTTTAAACTATTGCAAATTGCTCTGATGTGCTTAGCTAACGTGGTAGAAGACTCATGGCCCTTTGAAGATCAGGACTGTGCACAGACCATGGGGTTACAGAGACCATCTGCTGACCCTGCAAATTTTACCCTATTTGTACAGCACCTAGCATAATAATGCATTGCACCATTAAAATGGGAGCAATAATATCATGGGCAAGTCTGTCAAGGATGTTCCCCACTCTGGCATGACACATGCAGAAGTGGGAGCCTGCAAAAGCACCCCAAAACCTTGTCTCCACAGGCTTTGGTACAAAAAACTCCCTCCAAAATCCTAACACCTGGACTTTGGAGAATATCTGCTGCCACCACCCAAGTAATTCCAAGAAAACGAGAGAAGAGATCACTTGGGAAACCTCCTCCCTAAAACCTCAGGGGTACCCCAAGCTCTTTTTCCCCAAAGAGCTTGAAAAAGAGACAAGAGCTGTGACCCTTCAGTCAGCCAGACAAAAAAATGAACGGATACCAGTTAATTAGAAAAAAGAAACAAACTTTTATTATCAAAACAAAACTACAGTTGCAAGCATAATAAAGTGGCTAGATGAAAGAGAGCCACCAATTGATTTAGATACTCAGGGGAAAAGTCCCTGGATTAGAAAGCTTCCATTACAAAAGAGAGAGAAACAAAAGACACTTTTAATAGCTCAGACATCAGTTCCAAATTCCCAAACCAGAAAACAATAAAACCTGATTGACTATCTAAACGTTGCCCTACTTACACATTGTGAAAAGTCTCTTTTTTAGAGGGAGACTAGCCTCCCATCTCTCTCTGACTTGGAAGAAAATACTCTGCCTTTCAGACAAAGGAGGGAAAGATAGGATTCCTTTGTCTCAGTTTGAAATCCCTACCTGCATTATATTTGCTGACCAAATACCTGGATAGGAATAGAGTTACCCCTTAGTCACCAGGTGCTAGTCAGCTCTCCTGATTATGACAGAGTTGCACTGCTTGAGAAGTACCTACAAAGTTCTCATGGATCTATTTCTTTATCTGTAGGTAACCGATGGGTTTAGCTGTCTGTGTTACTGCACAACTAAATCATAACAACTAACCAATGAGCAGATAAAGGCCAGGAGCCAGGACAGGACGGAGTGGTCCCAACACCTCCCCTCCCGCACTGCAACAAGGAGTTTTACTCTTGGGGTTGGAAGGCAACAGATGTTGGGGAGGAATCCCCAGAATGCCTCCTGCTATGTCTATACACCAAAGAAAACTCACAGCTAGTGCGAGTCAGCTGCTCATGAGGTTTGGGGTTTCACTGCTGTTTCAACTTGTGGAACATGGGCTCTAGGACCTGTCGTGTGAGAGAGTCCCTGAGCTGGGGCTGCCTGCTACCTACATTTGAATGTCTTCACAGCCCCACAGCTCAAGTTAGCTGGCATGATCCAGCCATCCTTCCTCTTTGCAGTGGAGATGTCTCCTAAGTCATTGAAATGCAGAGTTGCCGTGGACTGTGGACCCTACATGTGCAACTCACTCTGACAGCTTGGAAAACACTTGATTGTTCACACTTTTATTAAATTTTCTTTTCAAGAAAATAGATTTTCAGTTAAATGAACATTTTGCATTAGCTTTCCTGAAGAATTTTAGATTTTTGTTGGAAGATAAAAAGAAATCTCAACAAAATGATACAAATCGGATACAAAGTAAACAGACATATAAAGTCATTTGTAACCCACAAAGGCTATGTCTAGACTGCAGGCTTCTTTCGAAAGAGGCTCTTTCGAAAGCATCTTTCGAAAGAGCCTCTTTCAAAAGATCGCATCTAGACTGCAGGCGGATCTTTCGAAAGAGAAATCCGCTTTGTCGAAAGAGAGCACCCAGCGAGTCTGGATGCTCTCTTTCGAAGACAGCCTCTTTACATTGAAGAACGCCTTCTTTCGAAAGAGGAACTTTCGAAAGAAGGCGTTCTTCCTCGTGAAACGAGGTTTACCGCCATCGAAAGAAAAGCCGCGTTCTTTCGAAATAATTTCGAAAGAACGCGGCTTGAGTCTGGACGCAGGGGAAGTTTTTTCGGGAAAAGGCTACTTTTCCCGAAAAAAAACCCTGAGTCTGGACACGGCCAAAGTGTTTGGTCTGCAGCCCAAAGTGCCTGTGGAGAGCATTGTGTTTTATGGCAATCTGTGTCAGGAAAAAGTACTTAACTGTTTCATAAAGAATCTCTCTTACAGTTTCTCTCAAAGAAAGAAAGAAAGAAAGAAAGAAAGAAAGAAAGAAAGAAAGAAAGAAAGAAAGAAAGAAAGAAAGAAAGAAAGAAAGAAAGAAAGAAAGAAAGAAAGAAAGAAAGAAAGAAAGAAAGAAAGAAAGAAAGAAAGAAAGAAAGAAAGAAAGAAAGAAAGAAAGAAAGAAAGAAAGAAAGAAAGAAAGAAAGAAAGAAAGAAAGAAAGAAAGAAAGAAAGAAAGAAAGAAAGAAAGAAAGAAAGAAAGAAAGAAAGAAAGAAAGAAAGAAAGAAAGAAAGAAAGAAAGAAAGAAAGAAAGAAAGAAAGAAAGAAAGAAAGAAAGAAAGAAAGAAAGAAAGAAAGAAAGAAAGAAAGAAAGAAAGAAAGAAAGAAAGAAAGAAAGAAAGAAAGAAAGAAAGAAAGAAAGAAAGAAAGAAAGAAAGAAAGAAAGAAAGAAAGAAAGAAAGAAAGAAAGAAAGAAAGAAAGAAAGAAAGAAAGAAAGAAAGAAAGAAAGAAAGAAAGAAAGAAAGAAAGAAAGAAAGAAAGAAACTGTTGTCAAGGTCTCAAATGGGCTGTATGTAAGAAACCATATTAGCTCATGTCTATTTTATTATATCCTAACATTTGTCCTTTCAGACTCTATGCCTGTTTGTGAAAGTAACAGCTTTACGAATAGCTTTTCTCAGAGACTCGTTCACCTCCTTGTTTCTTAGGCTATAGATAATGGGGTTGATCATGGGATTCAGGACTGTGTAGAAGACAGAGAATATTTTCTGTAGGACCTCGGGAGTGTTGGCCGTTGGAACCACATAGACAGTTAACACAGTCACATATAAAACAGTTACTACAATGAGGTGGGAGGAGCAGGTGGAAAAGGCCTTTTTCCTCCCAGCGGTGGAAGGGATTCCCAGGATGGTGGTGATGATACAAATGTAGGATGTCAGGGTCAGTAGACAGGGCACGAGTGCCCCTATGGCAGAGATAACAAACGTCAGCAGTTGCAGAGTCTGGGTGTTGCCGCAGGACAGCTTTATCACAGGTGAAAAATCACAGAAGAAATGGTCAATTTCTTTGGAATGACAGAACGTTAATTGCCACAAAAAAATATTGATGATGGTGCAGAACAAAACCCCACTTATCCAGCACCCTGCCACCAGCTGGCAGCAAACCCTGCCATTCATCAGCGCAGCATAGCGGAGGGGGTGGCAGATCGCTAGATACCGATCGTAAGACATGGCCGCGAGCAACAAAGGTTCTGTAGCTGCCATGATCGCAAACAAATATAATTGCACCAGGCAGCCCATAACAGAAACAGTTCTATCCCCAGTCAGGAGACCAGCCAGCAGCCTGGGCAGGATGGTGGAGCTGTAGCAGATATCCAGGAAAGACAAGTTCCCCAGGAAGAAATACATGGGGGTGTGAAGGTGCCGATCAGCCACCACCAGATCAATTATGAGGAGGTTCCCGGCTGCAGTCACAATGTAGATCACTAGAAATATGAGAGAGAGAAGAGGCTGCAGTTCAGGGCCATTCCCAAAGCCTAAGAGGACAAATTCCACGATGGGTGTTTGGTTTCTTCCTTCTGCTTTCTCCATAACATGTCTCTAGAAACAGAAAATGATCAAATATTGGTGGAGTGTGGTTCGTGCTGTCAGTAACACTGGCAGAAACCTGGAGGAGGTCACCTCCTACCTCTGTGTCTCTCCACTGGAAGTATTAAGTTGTCGATAAACAGAGGAAGACTCATATCACTAAGCGGTGGAATTTTCACAGAGTGGTGAACAAAGTGTCTGGAACCCGACTGAATTACAGGAAACATCCCATCTATCTCCCTTATGCTCTTTTGAACTTGAAACAAAGACTTCTAACCTAGAACTCTGATTCGTCTTATCACACGAGTGTCATACCAACAAAACTAGAAGAAATACAAAATAGTGGGAAATGAGAGCTATTTAGAGGTCTTCCTTGGGTACTTTTAGCCCATAGATGGGAGGTGTAATTCCCAGGTTGGTTAGATGGACATGCCCTTGCTTTGATGAAGCAGGATAAAAATTAGCAGTACACAGACAGTGGCTTGGATAGCCACCTTTGTAGGTTCCAGGATCTTACATGGGATTATCCTGATAGCTAGATTGTTTATTTCCCCAAAACTTATGATGCATTTAATACAGGTCTCTGTAAAGAAATAGGAGCAGATCCTTGCAGTTAAAGCAAAAGTATCAGAGCCAATGAGTCTGAAATCTCTTACATGATTTTCCCCTTGGTACACCCTACCTTCTAATCCCTTCATCTTCCATCCTATGATGAGCCTTTCGAAGCTGTGTTTACACCAGGGCTGTGTCTAGACTGGCAAGTTTTTCTGCAAAATCAGCTGCTTTTGCGGAAAAACTTTCCAGCTGTCTACACTGGCCACTTGAATTACTGCAAGAACACTGACTTCCTACTGTGAGAAATCAGTGCTTCTTGCGGAAATACTATGCTGCTCCCGTTCGGGCAAAAGCCCTCTTGTGCAAATCATTTGCGCAAGAGGGCCAGTGTAGACAGCACAGTACTGTTTTGCACAAAAAAGCCCCGAAGGCTAAAATGGCGATCGGGGCTTTTTTGCACAAAAGCGTGTCTAGATTGGCACAGGCGCTTTTCCAAAAAAAGCACTTTTGCGGAAAAGCGTCCGTGCCAATCTAGACGCTCTTTTCCGCAAATGCTTTTAATGTAAAACTTTTCTGTTAAAAGCATTTGCAGAAAATCATGCCAGTCTAGACGTAGCCCACGAGTGAAAATGGTGCATTGACATTGGAGCAACATCAAAATATGGCAGGAAAAAAGAAACCCATAAAAACACTCCCATGCACAGAGAGTTCATTTTTCATTCAATATTTTTATGAGTCATAAAACTCACGCAGTGAAAAATAAAACACACAGATGGGGAGCCAGACACATTCATGGAAAATAAGTCCTTAATGGCTCTTAGCCAAGATGGGCAGGGATGTAATTCCTCACGTCTGTCTGTCAGGGATGAGAATAGGTCACAAGGATGGATTGTTGATGGTTGCCTGTTTCGTTCATTCCATCTAGAGCATCTGGCACTGGCCACTGCGGGCAGACAGGACACTGGTGCTAGATGGACCTTGTAAAGCCGTTCTTACGTCCTTATTTTCTAAATCTGAGAGTCATTCAATAGTTTTCCTGGGCATGTTTTGCTAAAAGCCGTCTCTCTATTGACTTTCCTCCTGGATTGAACAAGCCCTTCTGTTCTTTCGCTTCGGGTGGATGTGTGAGCTTTCTCCTTTCCAACCAGACAGTTTCATAGATTCATAGACTTTAAGGTCAGAAGGGACCATTATGATCATCTAGTCTTACCCCCTGCACAGTGCAGGCCACAAAATCTCACCCACCCCCTCCTAGAATAATCCTCTCACCTATATCTCAAACAAAATACAGGACTATGTAGCACTTTAAAGACTAACAAGATGGTTTATAGGATGACTAACATGGCTACATTTCTATCACTAACCTATATCTCAGATATTGAAGCCTTCAAATACTTTGAAGACCCCAAGATGCAGAGAATCCTCTAGCTATGATCTGTGCCCCATGCTACAGAGGAAGGCGAAAAACCTCCAGGGCCTCTGCCAATCTACCCTGGAGGAAAATTCCTTCCTGACCCCAAATATGGCGATCAGCTAAACCCTGAGCATGTGGGCAAGACTCATCAGCCAGACACCCAGAAAGTTCTCTATAGTAACTCCTATCATCCCTCCATTGACCTATTTCCCACTGATCATAAAGGTGCCACTTTACCCTTCCCCGTGATGACCTCTTGCCAGTTACACCCTCGCTTGGACCCTTCCTTCACATTTTCTGAGATAACATCAGAGTCCTTGCACTACATTTTCCATTCACCTGGACTACCGGTTGTATCTCCCTAAATGGGGCTCTCTGGTCTGACAACATCCATGAGTGTTCCTGGACTGGAGCACCCTGGCTGGGCCCTTGGTGGCAGAGGGGCTGGCAGCTGGGGGGCAGGTATCCCTGCCAGGCAAGAGCCAGATAGCAGGAGGGGCTGGCATCCGGGAGTCCAGGGCCAGAGCTGCTGGTGGCATCTGGCAGGAAAAGGACCAGCAGCAGCTCCACTGGGGACAATGTCTAGGGCCAGAGCCAGCTGTTTAGCCAGCCGGTCAAGGGAGGGAGAGTGAAGGCAGCTGGGCTGGTGTTAGGAGGCAGGAAGTGGTGGCATTGTGGGGGGGCAGCGGGCTGGGGACCTCCCCTGCCCCACCATGATCCATCATGCTGGACCAGCCAGGTCCCACCCACTTGCTCCAGGTTCCAGCCCAGGGCCCTGTGGGGTAGCCTCTTGCCCCACTGAATAGCGGCCCCTCCCTGGGACACTTCCCCAACCACGCTCTGGGCATCTCCTCCCTGCTGTCTTGGATCAGGCCCAGTTAGCTTCCTGCCTTCCGGGTTTGTCTTCCCCTCAGTCTCTCCCCTGTTCTGTCCCTTTTCTCCTTCCCCTGCCTTGCCTGAGGGAAGGCTTTTATGGTGTGCCCATAGGCCTTAACTGGTGGCAGGTGCTCTAATCAGCCGTCCCTCCAGGCTAACTCCAGATGGGCTTCAGGTGTCCTAGTGGCTAGGCCGCCATCTCTCCAGCTTCCTCTGGAAACATAAATGCCCACACTCAACTCCCCGTGCACCTGCCTTCTACCCAGCTTCCAAAAGCTACAAGGTGATTCTGATCTCTGCACTTGAACGTCCAAACCCAGGGCAAGAAACCCCTCCTCCTTTGCAAAGCAAGGTTCCCATCTCCTTCTTGACACTTGCTATGAATTCATGGGAACCAAAGGGATTTAGGCACCCCATAGCATTTCAATGTCAAGAACTCTGCGTACTCACAGGAGGATCATTAAGCAATAGGGGTGAGTGTGGTGATGGGGTGTTGAGCTAAAGAATATTTGGTCCCTCTCTGGGATGGCTCAGACTTCACGGGGCTGGTTGGGGACGGGGAGGGGACTCATGGTGAAGTATTGGTCTGATGACGTACACACGCCAGTCCAGCCCATCCCCTTCTCTCCTTCATTGCATGGCGACCCTTGCAGTGTTGAGCGGTGCTGAATAGATTACACTGTAGCTCAAGAGCCCAAATAAGCAAGGCCAGTCAATCATATCGCTAGGAAGATAAAGGGTTACATGACGATTTCCTGTTCACGTCATTTCATTCACTTAATTCCCTCAGAAGAGCCTTGTACCTGCCAAAGCTGGAGGAAAGGAGGCTACTCCACGAAGACTTTGGGTCTGACCCACAATGTCCATTCCTATGGGCTAAATCTGAGAGCCTCTCACTGCTCTCCCATAGGCATGTTTGGCTGTAACCCATCTGTGATGGGTCCCCCCAGGGATCTCCCTGCAACTGGGGCTTCACTGAGTCCTCCAGACCCCTGATCTGGGCTCCCTCTCTTACTGTGCTGCAGACGCGCTCCCAGTCCCATTCACACGGGCAGGGACATGCCCAGCTGTGGTGACACGGGAGCTCTCTGACTGGCCACTGCATGGACCAGCACTAGAGAAGTGACAGTCCTGATCCGTACCAGTTTCCCAGCTTAGGACCCCAACCATGTTCCTCCCTGCCCTGGTGCAAACACCAGCAAGCAGGAATTTGTTCCCCTGTCTGACTCTCCCTGAACGTGGAGAAAAACATGCTCATCTCTGGTACCCCGGCTGAGAGATTTCTGAGAGTTCACCTAGTGTCACACTGGTCAGACTGAGACTGCTCATTTATGAACTACAAAAGTAGACGGTCAGTGACAAGAGATAGAAAACCGGTCAAAGCAGCTTGTCTAGCAATCAATCAAACACACACACTGAGCCTAACACACTGGTCAGATTGGCTGTGTATGAGTCACATCTCACCCGCACTGATGACACCAGCTGTCTGGTAGATTCTCACGGCACAAGCTGCATTTGCTTTGGAGCTTGTGTTCCTTTACAAAGGCTAAAAATCCCTTTCGCCTGGATCCAGAACTTCCCTCAGGTCTGTCTTTGTTCTGTGGGTCTCTGTAGGAGTCCTCTTCTATAGGGAATGAAAAGAACCAATGAGCTCACTCCCTGCTATATAGAGATTCAGATGGGGTGGGAACCCTTTGTTTCCAAAGTTGGTTCCCAGATGATTTATGGACAAATAAAGACATTACGTGAGGGAGTCCAGAGTCATGTTGGTTGGTGACTCTCCCAACCCCTCTCTTAGTGTCATAGCAACCGCTGGAGAGTTCTCAGCAGATGAGAGCTGAGGTTCTCTTAAGGCTTGTTGTTTTCTCTAATGGCTAATTACCCCTAATAGGCCCAACCCAGCCTTCTATCTAGGTCCATCCCGACATCCTACTGACAACATCTTTCCCAGTGGGCATGACAACGGTGTAACATAGAGTCGATATTCGTAACTTCAGAATCAAACACAAATAAGGAGAGCATATTCAGCCAGTCACAACCTGTCCAAACCAGCTGCACCTTCAGCCTAATTCTTCAGATTTTCTGCAATAAGATGATAGTCTTTTCATTACATTTCTCATTCTCTGCTACCCTTGGCAGTGACCAATCCTCCACAGAA